CTTCAATGGGTGCGGGGATGCATCGCAGCTCTCAAGTATGCGTTTACTTTGCCACGGGCTAAACTAAAGACCTTCGACAGCGGAAATTCGGTGACTGCGCGGGCGCAGCCTTGCAGCTCCGTAAAACCTACACCCGAGGGGCTAGGCTTGGTGAGCGCCAAAAAATGGGGCAGATGATGCGATAGGAGCTGAAGCTACCTCTAAGTCACGAGGTCGCTGCTGCCGCACCGATCGCCCGTCGCTCAAAATGGGGATTTTCTTGGCTTATCCTCTCAGAAGAAGCCGGCGCAAAAGGAGACCTTTCCCCTCGTTTCGCCGTGCTACAATACAAGAAGAAAGAGGGCGAGGAGGACTTTCCGCCAAGCGGAAGAATATTTCTGCTGGTCCTCCCTTAAAAGGGTTGTTTAAGCAAACATCCATCGGCTGAAGCACAGATGTCACCCCGCCTGGAATCGCTTTCGGAGCCCGATCACGTAGCGCTGGAAGTTCACTAACTTCTCCTCGTAGGCGTCATAAAGTCGTTGGCATAAGGTCGTCCGCCTCCGGATGGAAAATTCTTGGTGTTTCATGAATCGGTGAAACCACCCGCGGCTGACACGAAACTAGTCGCGCGGTATGCCGTCTTCTCTTGCCAGCCTCAGAGCTTTGATCTGGGCCATCTCTGTTGATACGGCATGGCCGCGGCCTCTCTTCTCCTCAATGAACTCCGCCAGCTTGGCTTCGACCTGGGGGTAGGCTCCAGTGTTGGGACCGCGAAAGGACCTACGGTCACGGCTTGCTCTTTGAAGATCCTGCTTCTTTGCTCTCCATTCGCATATACAGGATTCGTCGACATCATACTTTCGGCCTGCCGCGCGGTTCCCAATCTCTCCGGCAACACTGATTATTTTGAGTTTTTGCTCCGCCGTAAAGGACTGCCACCGAGCACAGCTCATGTCGAACGGAACGGGACGACCAAGATGGCAAGATTGACGTTTCTCGCTTCTTTCTCTCTTCGTGAGTGCACGGTTAGTCCAGCGTTTTGGCACGCAGAGTGCAAAGATGGCAACTCCAAAAAAGAAGATAAACATTTTTTTAAGTTCTGATGCGGGTAATATGCGAGAAAATACAGTAGTTGCCTCCATTCAGCTTAGTGGAAAGTTCTTCTGGACATGGCAGTGGGTACTGGGTTATGTCGAGCTGAGTATTCACGGTGACACTGAAGTCGCCACAAACTCTAACTGATCCATCAGACTTTGGAATGACAACAATCAGAGTGGCTCACTGCGAACAGTCCACGGGTGTGAGAACCTTGTTCTTGACCTGCTGGGCCAAGTCTTTTTCCATTGCTTATCGCATAGCAGATTGTATTGGACGAGGCTTAAAGAACTTTGGTTTCGTGTCCGGCTTGAACTGAAGGGGAACCTTGAGTTTAATGCTACAACCTAAGTCACCTGAGAAAAAAGTCGGAAACCTTGCGAACATTGTCTAAGCGGCGCTTCAACTTCCAGTTCCACGGTTCGAATAAACAATTTGTTTAAGACAATTTTCAGCCTGTCTATCCACATCCTTCCAAGCAGGTTGTTGTGTTGCTTTTTTGTCACTATCGCTTCAAGCTCTTTGGAGCGCTTTTCAAGCACGACTTGAAGCAAGCACTGGCCCTGAACCACGATTTTCTTCTGATTAAAGGGGGTGCAACGATTTCCGGACTTCGGTCAAAGATTTCTGGAAGTTGCCCTCTGACACTTATGAAGTAAAGAACAGAAAACCGATTTCGCCTGCGTGTCTTAGTTGTTGCGTAAAAAAAAAGATAAAGATTGGCATTTCGGGCACCCCTGAACTCACTCCCAGCCTTCAGTGTCACGCCTGGTCCCCCTCCTAGTGACGTCATTCGGAGTGCCGTGTAGCTTACCGTGTGCTATCTCGGACGACGCTTCCCCTCCCTCTCTCCGCCGACATTTGCAGGCGTTATGCTGCAGCTTAGAGCCGAGCAAGGTCACGTAATCTTTTCGCCGTAGTTCCTTCGGCTGCCACTTGGGGCTGCAGGTGGGGGAAAGTGCTCGACTTTTGCTTTGCGATTATGCAGCGGAATCGCGACATTTTTAATGAAGGGTGTGTTTTCTCTATCCTCCGGGACACAATAAACAACGTAAAAATGACGAGATGCAAGTTTTTTTAATCGTAAAGTCGTTGCACCGCCCCTTTAAAGCAGAAGAGGTTGTGCTCCCATTTCTGTAGGCTGGGTTTCCCAATCTTCTGCCACGTGTTGGTGTCTAGGAGTGTCAGCTTAGAATCTGTGTCCATCTGCAACTTCACAGGCGTTCTTTGGATCATGCAAGAGACAAATTCGCCATCTGATTCTTTAGTGACGAATACATTGCTGATAGTTTTCACCTTTTCCTTCTGCTTGCCAGCTGCCTTGTGGGGCTGCACCGATCGGAACACTTTGGCTATGTGGCTTCATTTGCCGCATGCATCGCACGACTCAGTTTGGAAACGACAGGAACTTTCCGAGTGGTTGGTGTGGCCGCATCAAAAACACTTGACAAGTGCAGAAGTAGACCACATTAAAAACACTTGACAAGTGCAGAAGTAGACCGCTTCACCTCTTTGACGAGCAGTGCAGTGCGGTTTCCCTGGTCTAGGCGTCGGTACTCCGCTTCGGCGATGAGGGTTGACCAGCCCAAGCGAAGTGTGATGTTTAGGATGTGGTCCTTCTCAAGTACCAGGCGTGCCCTGACGTGCGTCTCACGGAGACCCACGATTAATGCCGTCAAAATAGAGAAACTTCTGCCATCGTCATCAGATTTATAGTCACAGTTTGTGATGATTGATCTTAGCCGTGTTACGAAGTTCTTTACTGTCTTGTTTCCTTCCTAACGAGCCGAAAACAGTTTCGCCCGTTCAAATTACTTGAACTTCTTAGGCACGAAATCTTCTTCCAGCTTGTTAAGCAGTGCCAGGTATGGTGTGTCCAGAAAGCTCCGTGACTGGATGAGGGAATAGAGCAGCTTGAAAGTCTCGGGACCAATCGAAGCGATCAATAAGTTGTTCTTGTCTGCATCTGCAGTGACCTTAGCGACGCCGAGACAAGCTTGAAACTATCTGATACAGTTTCCACTCCTCCTTGTTTAATTCAAATCTCCCGGGCCCAAGGAAACGATAGATGTGGTTCTCCACCATCCTCGCTGATGCTTTGCCGTGCTCCCGTTGAGTCCGCTTTTTTCTTGATTGTCGTCGTTTTCCATTTTTATGCATGTCACAGGCTCGTATCTCGAAGTTGCATCATGCGTCACAGCTTCAACTCGGTATACAGTCTACTCTCGTTAATTCAAACTCCAGAAAGCCACAGACCTTAGTTTGAATTATCAGAAATTCATCTAAATAGGATGTGAAGCAAAGTAGTAATTTGCGATAGGAATAGCTACATATATCAAGCAGATTTTTTACACTTTGCTCTCGGAGGCCTATTTATAAGCAAGCACGCAGATGAAACATTGGTGAAGTTTGAAGTAAATAGTAGTTTAGGTTGAATATTTTGTAATTGAATATAAAATAGTGTCTCCACACCTTCTACTGACTTTGTACCATGCTTAAATGAAAATTCAGCTGAATTCGTGAGGGTTGTTCCCAACCTTCCCCTTGTCCACTTCTAAGCTCTGTTAGTTTTAATATAACTATGTGAACTGTGGCCTCAGAAAGTCCAGTGTCTTCATGGGGTGGCATGTGAATGACAAATTTGGCATAAAATTAAACCTAAAGAGGTGCCCAACTATCCTAATCAAGGGAATTTATAAATCTGCTTGCTATATTTAAATGTTCCTTTTTTAATCTTGGATTTAACCCCCCAGAAATATAAAAATCAAGCACGAATAATGAAAGCGGATTGTTGGGACAGTACTGCTTCCATAATCGCAGTGGGTTAGTCCCATCGAGTGTAGTTCTCACCGAGCAACCGCATACTCCGGAAAAGCAGTGCCCACAAGCTTTGCGGGTATTGCTTTCCCGCAGTACACAGGTGCTCGATGAGAAGCGCTCTCAACTGTGCTAACCCGGCACGATGAACAAATAGTATGAATTAAGGGGAGACACCCCCTGGGAGGGTCAACTTTTATACCCTTGGCTTAAAAATAATGAAGTTAACAGGGTAGGTTGGTGGTCATGCTAGAGGGTGCGTAACAAACTTTCAGGTCTGTCGGTTAGGTGGGAAGGAAATCGGAGCAGCTTCTATCAGCAACCATTGTTTAGTTAATCTATCGTCAGAAAACTATCACAATATTCAAGATTTTTATTTGCTAGATATCTAGCAGAATGCCTTGGAGATGCGGCTATGGAAAGTTTTGTTGTAAAAGTAATTTATTTCTGTCAATTTTCCCTTTGCAAAATTGGTCAACTTCTTCGTCTTCTGTGTGTTCGACAAAAAGTCAACATTTTTTTATAAGAGACATCTAGAAAGTGACAAAACAAATTCCATAGCCGCATTCCTTATTAAATTTCAGTCAGGAAAAGTGAAGAACAAGCCTTCCCTGTATTGCCATTATCAAATGATAGATTGACTAAAATGGAATTTATACCAAAAAGTGGAACGGAGAAAAATGCGTTCAAAGTGCTCCAAACCCTACCCTTTCTTTAGCTTCGGTGGACCGTAAATAATTTATAAAAAATTAACTGTGCAGTGTAAACTAGTGAAAATTTCTGGGAATACTCTCTAGATGTTGGTGGATGTAAATATGTCATTTTTCAAAATCAACATTTTTTGCAGAAATATTTTTTTCTGGGTAGTGTCCCCCCTTAAGCGAAAACAATGTTTGAATTAGGCAGGTTATAGATGCACTGAAAGCACAGCGGGACAGCCAAAATTTAAAAATTTGTTTGAATTAGGCGGAAGAATGAAATATCGGAGTTAGAATTATCTCGAGTCCACCGTAGTTGAGAACGCCATTAATACAGCCGTTGGGACACATCACTTTCCAACAAGATTGGCAGTGTTCATAATTGCCCCGTTCTCTGACCATTTTCAGACCAGAAATGCCCGACCGCAGTTTCACGTCCGTCAAGCACGGCCTGCGGAACCGGGAGGACCCCTCGCAGCAGCACATCCAGCTGGACTTGGAGAACAAGTACTCCGCCCTACATCAAGGCGACGGAAACTAGGACCTCGCTTTCTTCTCCTTTTCCGGGGCGCACGCCTCCTCCTCTCCTGTCGAGCGAGCCAGGACTACACAAGAGCAACCAACTTCTTGCGAGAAAAGAGTTATTTTTTTCACCCACACTAATTTTACTACTCCTTTGTCGCGTTTGTCACACCAAACGAAACTGCCAGGCCACGAATGTCTCGTTGAGCGGTAACGGGAGATGTGTAACATGACAGCGAGGTTCCTCAGTCTACGGGGACTCAGTTGCGAGTGTCGCAGAGGCCGGCCGTATAGTTCGTGCAGAAGCTGGGTTCGAGAGATGATCTGAGGGGCGGCTTTTCGCACTTGGCGCCCCTTTGTCCCAGGTACTGGCCGACTTTCACTTCCCTCTGTCGCTGGGAGCTCTCTATTCTCTCCTCTTGCAGCGGCAGATTCTTCCGACAGAATTTCGGCACTGAAGGACTGTGCTGGAAGACAGAATGCAGTTGTTTTTTTTTGTCTGGTGTGTGTGCGTGGTCTGCGCTGTGAACTGGAAGTGTTCTTTTTTTCCCGAGGATGACGGCGTCGCGCGGACAACCGGAGTATTTGTCCGTTCTTTGGCTTCTTGAAGCCCCCCGTGTTTGTATAAGAGACATAGAGTTTTAGGGCTGTTGGCAGACCAGTTTTGGCGTGGGTGCAAGATTGAAAGGTTCGCAAAACGTGTAGGTTCTTTTTTTTTAACTGTTTGGTGTTAGGTGTCTGGTTGCCCATGCAGTTGCTTTATTTGTTGAGTTAACAAAGTGAGTGATTGGCCTATTGCTGTTGCGCTCACTAACAAGCGTTACATTTGCTGTATACTTCTAGTGTGAGAGTCTGGCTGCTCAAAGTTAATTTTGCAAGTGTTCTCGAGACGCTTAGGAGAGATTGGAATGAATGGCAATTTGTATTTTTAATTTGTTATATCTTCCTGTTGGTACCTAGTATGAAATATGCTTGTGATGCTAAGGTATAGTGGCAGAGATGCACATACTGAAAATGAGAAGAAAAAAGTGGAATTATAACTTCTGGTGACATCCTACATTGAAGAATTCTGTACCCTAATGGTATTTGGTGCTTTTTCTCTATGTAGGTGTCATGAAAGGAAGTAAATTGAATTTGCTTCTACCCTGGCCTCTGGTTTCTTTTTAGCTGAATTCACTAACAAGTCTTGTTTTGTAAAGTTGTGAACTTCAAGTCTCCCGTCTTTACCTCCCTCACATGCTTTTAAGGCCTTTCCAAACAGGGCACTTCAGAAATTGTGAGGCAATACAACTCCGTCCAAAATGGTGGAAGTGGAAGCATCCAGCAGTTACATGTCTGTTTGAACACTACCAAGCAAGCATCACGATTTTCCTTGCTTCCTCCGGTGCATTGTTCGGAAGCTGGTGTTGGGTGTTCGAACAATGAGTAGAGAAACAGGCAGGCAGGCAGGTAGGCTTTGCATCTACCCACTAATCCTTTCAATCTGAGCTCAGTGCCTGATGTCCTCTCGCACTCTCGTACCCTACTCCACTGGTGCACCCAGGATCTTGGTCTGGGGGGAGGGAGGGGAGGGGAGGGAAGGGGGAACCTATATAAAAAATTTTATTTATTTCCGAGTTGTAGCTTGCGATTTTGCAGAAATCCCCCCCTCCCCCAGACGAAAACCCTGGGTGCACCAGTGGAGTAGGATTTTCCGTGCTGCATGAGCAATTCTGAAGTTGATCTGTTTCAAAATTATTTTGCTGGCGCACAAATTTTTATTATCCGTGGTGTAGCTGTTACCATGGGGTGCATTATTTGTGGGACTGCTTGTTTATGATTATTTTCAAAGTGTGAGATTGGCTAAACAGGTCTTCCTGAAAACCATGTTGTTTACCATATACTCTGCAGACGACAAAAGCTACGGCTCCTGCGACCCTATGCGAGCTGTCTGAGGCAAACACATGTCCTGGTGCTTTATTGCCACATGGCTGCGCCTCCCATGGTCATAGTGTACGAGAAGAAAACTCTGCTATCTAGAAACAAAAATAATTAAATAATCGTGAAAAAAAATCAGTAATGTAATTACTTGAAACTTAATAAATATATCCACCTAAATACCCAGAGAGAAGTAAGAAAAAGCATTTAAAACATTACTCTTAAATAATTATAAATTTTAATCTGATGAATTTAGCACACAAGTTTGGGCAACGGAAGGGTAACGATCCTGAAATAGTCCCACTTACCGACTTGCCAGCGTAGATCCCGAGGTCATTCGGATGAGAAGCATTTTCAGGAATCGAAAAAGGCTCGGCACTTTAGATTATGCTGAAGAAGATTGCGTCTGCTGAATCGCCGGTTCACGAATGCTGGGAGTTGGAACATTTCGGTGTTGATGCAAACTGTTGAATTCAAATCCCAACTTTTTTTTTTTTTTTGAGAAGCAGGTAAGCATTGTATATTTGACTGTCACTTCAGGTGGCTTAAAATCATTTACGTAACCACAGTAAAAAAAAAAAAGTTGCAGCGAGTGATTAGCTTTGGTGCAAGGCAAATTTTAGTGCTTCGAGGGGCCTGAAAGAATGATCGATAGAGTATGCGAAAAGAAAGATATGGAAATGGAGGAAGTGAACAAAATATCGATAAGAAAGACGGATGTAGGGAAGAAAGTCAACAATATCTACATGCAGTAACTTTACGCTTGTTGATGGATCCGTCAAGATATCGGCGAATCCAAAACCTGCCATGTCGCATACCAAAAGGACCCTCTTGTTCTAACCTACTTCAATGGGCTACTGCCCCTTCCGCCCGGGCCCCTGGCCCCGGAGGGGAGGCGGGAGGCGAGGCTGGGAGGGGAGGGGAGGGAGGGAGAGCAGGGGGAGGGGAGTAGTTACACATTTCGTCGTTTTGCTTTTTGGGGCCCTGTACCTGTAGCGAAATAAAGAGGGGCCCACCCCCTGGAAAATTTCAGTGAATGCTCAAGTCTCCGTTGTCCCCCCGTTTCCGGGTCCCTGGTGCTTTCCCTAAACAATTCCTCAGACCACCGCAAAAGCCGGCGGTATTTATTTACTTTTTTTTTTTTTTTCGGTTGTACACAGCGGGCGCGGGTGCCGGGTGCGGGAAATTTACAACTTTGCCGGTCTTCTTAGGGGTTAGAACCCGTCGCGACGTTTCCCTTTTCATCTTTGGCCCATGGCTTTGTTCACTGTTGCTTGCCATTTTCATTTTTCCATCTTCGACTCGCGGGCTTGATCGCAAAAAGAAACAAAACAAAAAACAATCAAATGTGTGTCTTACCGAGTTGGTGACAGGTTAAAGGGATGGTGAACCGAAATTGGGATTTTAAAACAAAAAACAATGCTGGAGATGTAGGCAGGACGCTACAATCCCTACAACACTACTAGTAAGGCGATATCTTAAATGGACGGCCGTATTTTAGAAAAAAGAAGTCGAGATTGAACCAGGCCGATGAGGCGCGTGATGTCAAGATACCTAGTTTCCTCCTCTCTTCGCTTCGCTCCCTCAAGGCCGCGAGGCGGAGAAGACACAAGTCCGTTCCCTCCTCTTCTCGGAAAAACGTGACGTCAACATTCCTGCCAAATGCGCCTCTTTTTTAAAAAAATACGGTTATCCGTTCGAGATATCGCTGTATGAGTGATGCTTTGGTGTTCGTAGCATCCCGTTGCACGCTTTTGCCGCGTGAATTGGGGAATCCAGATTTCGGTTCAGCATCTTTAGGTTAAGCGTGAAATGGAAGCTCCTCTCAGAGCGAACGCTGGATTGGAGGTCGGCCAAAGGATCAGAGGTGGGAGAAGCTTCACTTCACCCTGAAAGAGATATTGAACCGAAATTCCGAGCTCACAAAACAAGACTACACGGATAGGCGGGACGCTGCAAAACCCCAAAAAATCACTCGTACAGCGGTATCTCTAACGGATCGCCGTATTTTTGGAAAAGTGTGTGATTACTTAAACGCGAAAGAATAAAACATGGGGGACAAACACAGGACAACTACGTAGTTGTCCTCTGCTTGTTCTCCGTGTTTTATTCTTCCGCGTTTAAGTATTTGTGTTCAAGACGCTCGGCTTTTACCAGTGCGTGATTGAACACGGCCGACGAGGCAGACCAGACAAGTCACGTCGCGATTCCCATTCCCGCTCCTCCTCACTACGTCCCGTCGAGCTGGTGAACCGAAGACCGATGCGAGGCCGCTTCCCGAGGACAATGACGTAAAAGACCTCGCTTGATTGCGCCCTTGTTTTTCAAAAGTACGGCCATCCGTTTGAGATATCGATGTTTTTCTGTTCATAGCTTTCCGTTCAACGCTTCTGCGGCCTTATTTTGCAAAATCCATATTTTGGTTCAGTATCCCTCTAACTTGTCACCCGACTATGGGCCCGCATATTTGTCTAACTAATAATAATAAAAAAATGCTTATTTTTATTGACTATCGAATTATAAATATCAACGAGTCACGGGGCACTTTCACAATAAAAATAATTAGTAATGGCAGTTTTAGACAAATCAGACGAGTACGATACTAAAGGATGCTGGCAGGTGGTTCCATTCTGATGGCGTTCTAGGTATAAAAGAATTGACGGAAGCTATGGTCTGACAATAGGGAATGCCTACTTTGAACTGATGATTGATGCGTGCAGAAATGTAAGTTTGCTATACAATGAAGTTCTCCCTGAGGACTGAATTAGTATGATATAATTTGCAGAAAAGACATAGGTGAGAGCAACGGCGGCCTGAAGAGGGTAAAGAGAGGTTATTTTTCATGGATGTTACACTCGCCGCACGATGGTAATTGCTAAGTACGAAAGGAGCACTGCGATTTTGAAGCCATTCAAGGCTGAATGCGAGTGTGGTCAGACCAGGGTCAGAGATTGCTGCAGCTCGAGCAATCTAATTTTGAGCAAACCAGAGATTTGTGTAAGGAAAGTTTAAGAGACACAGGAGCTAAAGAAAAGTTTCGTGTAAAGTAGCCTAGCATTGAATTGGCTTTAGGAAGGATATGATTGTAGTGACCCATTTGCACGGTGCGCATAGAAGTAAAGAAGGGTAAGCGCGTGCGGCGAATCCAGCCATGGAGCTCGAGAGACGGAACGACCGGCGGAACATACAGCTCTCAATGATCGCAGCTAAAAAAAAAGTCAAATTTGGGGGTTTTACGTGCCAAACCAATGACGGGCATCTGGCACGCCCCAGCGGAGGACTGAGGATTAATTTCGACCACCTGGGGATCTTTTGACGTGCGACCAAAAGCTCGGTTACACGGCGCCTCCTCCGCAATAAGCCTCCGTCAGATTGCGGGCACCTCGGCCGGGATACGAACCAATGATCGCAGCTGCCGTTTGTAGTAATTAAAAGAAAATCCTCGTCGCCAAAATGTAGTAATTAAAAGAAAATGCGGACACCCGAAAAAATAAAGAAGAACAGTGCCTGCGTGGGCCTGCGGAAAAACGAGGAGTCTCACATGCAGAAGTGGCGACCGGCGGGCCGGGCGCGGGAGCCCCGGACGGAGAGAGAGAGACGTCCGACGCGGTCGGTGGTTGAAACTAGGGGTGTCGCGAACCGGCCGCGGTTCGAATTCGACCTGGTCGACTTTCTCGAACTTTTAGTGGAAAGTTCGACGAACCTTGTATTCAGGTTCGACTCGTGTGCGCATGCGCGACAGGCTAGCCAGTTGGCTTCGGATTGGATTGTGATGGCTAAGAGATGAATTAAGTGCAGCGCTGATTGGCTATTTCAGCCAATAAAGTACTAAAAATTAAGTTATTAACTTCTTCAGTGATTAGAATTAGTTTTTTTTTAATTGCAGCTGTTCACAAAATAAAATAACCCTTTGCATAAAAAAAATTCTCCAAACCTAGACATGCTTGTATCAAGGTCTGGCCACACTGTCCACAAAGTCGAATTGGTCGAATCTAGAGCACTATATAGCTCCTTCGGAGCAGAGTAGCGCAGAGCCGTTTATACTGAGAGAGTTTGGCCGATGGGCGGAGCTTGTTGGCCGCTAGAACAAGCGGATTTCGCGATAACACAATATGGCGTTACTTCTTTGTCTTGTTCATTCCTGTGAATTCGCGTAGAGTTCGTATGAGTCAGATCCACAATATGGCGGACGGAAGTAGTCATCCCCCGGTTGTCAGACTGCGATG